TGAATCAAGGAGTTGGCTTTTTGAAAAAAGATTGATCAAATAGATAGACCACTAGCCAGAGTAGTAAAGATGAAAAGAGAGAATTAAATAGACACAATAGAAAGTGATAAGGGAGATTACACCATTGATCCCACAGAAATACAACTACCATCACAGAATACTATAAACACCACTAAACAAATACACTAGAAAATCTAGAAGAAATGAATCAGTCCTGAATACATACACCCACCCAAGACTAAACCAAGAAGAAGTTGAATCCCTGAACAGACCAATAAGAAGTTTTTAAATCAAGGGATTAATTAATAGCTGACCAACCAAAAAAAGCCCAAGACCAGAAGGATTCACAGCCAAATTCTAACAGGGGTACAAAGAGGAACTGGTACCATTCCTTCTGAAATTATTCCAAAGAATAGAAAAAGAGATACTCCTCCCGAATTTATTTTATGAGGCCTCTATCATCCTGATGCCAAAACCTGGCAGAGACACACGCACAAAATTTCAGGCCAATGTTCCTGATGAACATTGTGCAAAAATCTTCAACAAAATGCTGGCAAACTGAATCAAGCACCACATTAAAAGCTTATCCACCATGATCAAGTCAGCTTCATCCCTAGGATAAAAGGGGCGTTCAACATACATAAATCAATAAATGTAATCCATCACATAAATAGAACCAAAGACAAAAACTACATGATTATCTCAGTAGTTGCAGAAAAACTCTTCTATAAAATTCAACAACCTTCATGCTAAAAAACACTCAATAAAACAGGTATTAATGGAACATATCTCCAAATAATAAGAGTTACCTGTGACAAACCCACAGTCAACATTATAGTGAATGATCAAAAGCTGGAAGCACTCTCTTTGAAAACTGGCACAGAACAAGGATGCCCTCTCTCACCACTCCTATTCAACATGGTATTGGAAGTTCTGGCCGGGGCAATCAAGCAAGAAAAGAAATAAAGTTTATTCAAACAGGAAGAAAGGAAGTCAAATTTTCTCCATTTGCAGATGACATGATTGTATGTTTAGAAAATCCCATCATCTCAGCCCAAAATCTCCTTAAGCTGATAAGTAACTTCAGCAAAGTCTCAAGATACAAAATTGATGTGCAAAAATCACAAGCATTCCTATACACCAATAATAGACAAACAGAGAGCCAATTTATGAGTGAACTCCAGTTCATAGTTGCTACAAAAAGAATAAAATACCTAGGAATACAACTTACAAGGAATGTGAAGAACCTACTCAAGGAGAAATACAAACCACTGCTCAAGGAAATAATAGAAGACACAAACAAATGGAAAAACATTCCATGTTCATGAATAGGAAGAATCAATATGAAAATGGCTATACTGCCCAAAGTAATTTATAGATTCAATTCTACTCCCATCAAGCTACAGTTGGCTTTCTTCACAGAATTAGAAAAAAAGCTACTTTAAATTTCATATAAAATCAGAAAGAACCCATATAGCCAAGACTGTCCTAAGCAAAATGAACAAAGCTGGAAGCATGATGCTGCTCAGCTATCCTACAAGCCTGTAGTAATAAAAACAGCATGACACTGGTAACAAAACACATATATAGACCAATGGTACAGAACAGAGGCCTCAGAAATAACACCACACATCTACAACCATCTGATTTTTGATAAATCTGACAAAAACAAGCAAAGGGGAAATGATTCCTTATTTAATAAATGGTGCTGGGAAAACTCACTAGGCATATGCAGAAAACTGAAACTGGACCTCTTCCTTACACCTTATACAAAACTTAACTCACGATGAATTAGAGACTTAAACGTAAAACCTAAAACCTTAAAAACCCTAGAAGAAAACCTATGCAATATCATTTAGGAGATAGGCATAATCAAAGACTTCCTGAATAAAACACCAAAAACAAAGG